GGACAGCTGTCTAGTCCTTCGGATGAGACGAAAAACCGAGGTCCCGTGCATACATTAGAATGCACGTAAAAGATCGCTTTGCAGTTGGAATTCGATATAAGAGTAGGCGATAGTGCCACTGCCCGGGCAAAATTTCCGTCATAGCACACTGTATGGCGTATGCCCATCTTCATTAGCCCAGTATAGGAGCAGAACAGTAGGACGTTAAACCCCATTTCATTTGTTAGTGACTTAGAAATAATCAAACTAGATGAAAAATTCTTATTCTAGAGAAGCAAAAAATTTATTTTTAAAATATGTTTGTTGTAAGCTTGGGGTGAGGTGGGGAGGGGAGTTGGGTGGCCAAATTTTCCAATACATTGGCTTTAGATCATAAGATATGTCATTGATTCAAGTGGTTTAGTTTCGATCCCACACTAGTACGTGACAAGGAGTAGGATCATTTGTCTAGCTGTGTGAGTTTTCTCCAGGTTCCTCCAGATTCCTCCCACTGCTAAAGACCCCTATGCGAATTATTAAAACAAACTGAAATGATCTAGTTTGTGTTGTGTGGACATTCCCCCGCCCCTCCAACCCTCTTTGTATTTACATAACAGCTGATTTTCCTTTAAAAAACCAGTTTAAAATAATATAATTATGAGGTGTTTTTATTCAATATCTATATAAGTTGTTTTATGAATGGTTATTGCATTTGGGGGCTTCCGTAGTTTTCAAGCCCGTCCCTCACTAGACCTGAGTTGCTGTCTGCGTCATTTACAGGAAATGTGTTGCCTTGTCATTCAGATGTGGAAATAGACGCCATTCAAATTTTAATTATTTCTGATAATTACTTCATGGATTGTTTACTCTTGATCAGATTTTATTTTAGTAGCTTTTAAATTCCCCGAGAATAAATATGCAACGACTTTTGCAGATGCTCGTTCGAATTAGTTGTTACAGGTTTATGTTTCGTTGCATGGCAACCGGCCTAAGTGCATATGTGTTCAGCTTTAATTGGGGGGGTGGGGGTTGAATAGCAGAAAGGTATCACAAGGTCTGTCATTGAGTCAGCGGGCGTGGTTTTGATTCCCTGGTTGTACGTGACAAGGATTAGGGTCGCCTGTCCAACCTCGTGGGTTTTCTCGGGTCCTCTGTTTTCTTTCCACTGCTAAAGACCCTACGTACAAGCGAATTATTGAAATAAAATTGAACCATGTGTTAGTCCCGCAAATGAATTAGTTTGTGTCAAGTGGATGTTAAACCCCCATTTCTCTTTCTCTCTGAGTTTTAATTAGATTTGCATCTAGTGATTATACTTTATAGAGTTTATCTCATGTAATTAACTTTATTCTCTAGTACAGTTGCACGGATAATTGACATATTTACATAATTGATCTTGCATTATAAGAATTTTGAATGGACGACAGCTAATGTTCTTAAGACTTTTGTTGATATCGACCATTAATCACGTATAGTCAATATACATCGTTGGTCCGATCATCTTATGACGTTGGTAGTTTAAAATTATTGTCATATCTCCTGTGTTAAGTCAATATCAAGTAAACTATGCTGTTTATATAAGGTTGAACCCAACCCTTATCGTTACTCAACTAACAGATAGAGTCTGCACATGGTCTCGTACACAGCTAGTATGACTCAGCCAAAATATGTGCTGGATCTATTTTCATAATCAAAATTTTCTACGGTCTTCAGATAATGCAATTTGACTGGTCATATCTTGGTGGCCATGAAAATGTCCATTGTTGTATCGGTAGTCATTGCACACTTTGTAATCTTGCACATGTGCTTAGTGAAACTGATACTTTGTGGATAAAACAAACTAGTGCTAGAATGTGTGACACTGTAATTTTAGGTGATTTCTTTTCTAACTGAATGATTATTTAGCCAAGTGGTATTATGCAGTGCATTAGAGATATATTAACTGGTTTCTTGGTGGATATGGATTTTATAAACTTTGTACAGAAAACTATTAAAACTGTGATTTAAAAAACGTAATTTGTGAATTCTTTTCAAAATGCAATCATCAGTAGCAGAATGCATGATGGAGACAGCTATAAGTGATCTAGCCATAAGTAAGCATATATAATCCATTACCGGCATTTCATAACTGGATAGAGCATTGAGCAATTTAAGCTACATGTATAACACATATGGAAGAACAATTACTAATTTATGTAAGCGATGTTTCAAAGAGTATTCTCAACGTTTTCAAGGAAATAAATATAGACAAGCAATATTTACCTTATTGGTAGAGGATACTGTCACTTCTTAATATTGATGACGATAATAATCCTTTAGATAGTACATTAAACTATAACTCATATTAGTAATTTATTTAAACATACATTATGCAAGAGCTAAATCTGCCTATTGCAGGTCTTTCCTTGGGACTTAAATGGTATCTAACTTATTAATTAGACATTAATTAACTTATCCAGATCCTAATCAACTCTCGATGTCATCGCTAGCCTGCGATGTTTATTGGATTTGGTTCCGATTTGCTGTTCGACTTCCATTCATAATTTAATCATGAAATGGATAATGGAGACTATGTTTTTTATCGTACTAACTTTAGTAAAACTAAACATATTTTGAAAACCCATTTTCAAACATGGCTATGGCAGTCAAATTTTTTAAATAAATTAAATATCGGAATTGAATAAAGAACTTTACTGTATTTAGAGAAAGAAAACTGCATATAGCACAGAGCATTTGTTTTATATACAGTATTACATGGCACAGCTTCCATGTCGTAGTCATGTTAAAAAAAAAATGAAAGCGTGAAATAATCTTAAATAAAGTCGTACTGTAGCTAGCAATTTTTTATTTCTCAGTTTGAATTATCATAATCTTACTTTAGTGATTTTAATTTACCAAATTTAAACATTTATGATTGGAAACCGAGCCATATGATGCTGAGTTTATATTTTGAGATTAATTTCTTATTCATAAAAAATAGGAGAGATCATAGTATAGAGTTTAAAAGACTGTATTTACAAGCCCAACACATCCTTCACAATTTCACTGATATTATGTTCCCCCTTGTCAGTGATGCAGGGAGGAGGGCCTGACAATGACAGCTGTCTAGTCGTTCGGATGGATGAAAAACCGAGGTCCTGTTACACATTTGCGTGCACGTAAAAGATCCCTTGACTGTTGGAATTTGATATAAGAGTAGGCTGTGGTGCCGCTGTCTGGGCAAAATTCCCTCATAGCACACTGTATGGTGTATGCCCGTCTTCATTAGCCCAGTATAGGAGCAGAACAGTATGACGTTAAACCCCATTTCATTTCCCTATTATGAACGTATCCTGGTAGTTAAAATTGTATACACGTGAATTCAGTATGTAAATTAGTGTAAGTTAGATAGGTTTTATGAATGTATATCCTGGTAGTTAAAATCGTATACACGTGAATTCAATATGTAAATCTGTGTAAGTTAGATAGGTTTTATTGGTTTTTATGAATGAGCCATGATATTATTGAAATATTCAAGGTTATTATGACACGATTTTCTTTCTGCCCACAATGTAATTTGGTCGTTGAAAACTGTCAACCATGTCTGATTATTGTATGGGAGACGAGGAATCTTATTGAATTTTTATCCTTTCGTTAAATCATATAAATTGAATAAATATCTGATTTACATGAAATTTGCAAGATAACTAATATGAAGTTCATCAGGATTTTCCGATGTGATTTCCCCATGTCAGTGGTGCAGGACAGAGGGCCTGACAAGGACAGATGTCTAGTTGTACGGATGTGACAAAAAAACGAGATTCTGTGTATACATTGGAACACACATAAAAGATCCCTTGGCAGTTGGAATTCGATATAAGAGTAGGCCATAGTGCCGCTGCCCAGGCAAAATTCCCCTCACAGCACACTGTATGCTGTATGCCTGTCTTCATTAGCCCAGTCGGAGCAGAACAGTAGGACGATAAACCCCATTTCATTTCATTTTTTATTTCATAACTAATACAAGGAAGAATTAATATGTTAATGCCAATGATCATTATTTGATGGATTTTGAATCCAATGTTCTTTATACTGTGAAAGTTACAGCAATAACAATCCCTCAAATCATATTCAGAGATTAGAATTGCAAAGATAATTTTCAAACTTGCATGCTTATGAATTTTGAAATATGGATAGCATTCACTAGGTTTATAAACTGAAACATTTCATAGGGTACTTTCACCATTATCACGCAATGATACAATCAAACAAGTTACGGATGCTTATATACAATTGGTTAAAAAAAACAAATTACTAAATGAAAGCCATTCAAAGACACTATGATATGGAATAGTGTACATGTAATTAGTTAATTGTTTTACACGATAGCGCGTGCGAGTGCTATTTTTTAGCAGATGATGTCACTAGCTCGGTATCGTGGAGCGACGGTCACTGCAAAAAATTTTTCGGGATGTCTGGTTTTTTTTTACCTCCATCCATGTAGAAGCCAAAACAGAATATAAGACGATTGCCAGACTTCTGCTGAAAAAAGTATCGACTTATGCCCCCCCAAAATACGGTAATTTTGGAGGTGAATTTTAACAAATGTAAGGATCGACATTAGCGGCACGCTTTTATTCTATCATATTACGACAACACGTAATTTTGTAGGAATGTTACTGACATAAATCGGGAATTAAATATGAAAAATAACGAGGTGCACCTATTTTTTTTATTACATACGAATTTGAATATTTTGTTGACACATGATTTTTAATTGTGGTCTGAAACCGCCTGCTTAATAACGACAAAAGTTATGCCCCTTTATTTTCGGTAAAAATGTCTGACAAGAAAATGTTTAAAATCCCATCACTGCTGTTAACCATTAGTCAGACCTAAGAAAACTACTAATTAGTAGGATACCCTGTATGGTTTAAATTTTTGCATTAGTTTTAATGACAATTATTACTTAGACGACAAAGCTGTAAGGAGGTGTATTTCTTTTTTTTACCTGGCAGCTAATCTGTCTGTTATATTTTTAGCGGACAAGTACGAATATCATCCTCGGATGAAGCGCTGTCTGAAGAGGATTCTGGATCGGAGGGGGAACAGTCCGGAACCAGAGATCCGACCACGGGTAAGATGTTTTTACTTTATAGTATCAATAAATTGTCATGTAGAATGAATTACTTTGGGGGAAAAACTGGTAATGTATCAAGATTTGATCAAAGTTGATAAAATTATAGGCAATGTATTAAGATTTGATCAAAGTTGATAAAAGTATGGTACAAGCCTGGAAAAAAGGCACCGGTCCCAAGACATTGTCTTGCACAAATATGGTTTTGTCAGGTACAACTCTTCTGGTGCCTGTCCTTTTGTTAGCCACAGTATTGTTTTTTTTCAGTGTTTTTAATGATACCTTTAGTATATGCCTGGCACAAAGTTAAAAATATCATATGCTACTAGCTATAGAGCGGGAGCACAGGGGGTTAACCTAGCTGAAAAGTGTACCAATTTTCTCCTATATGGTATCAATGTATGTATATCTGGTATCATCAGAATGTAAGTCTGCCGGGTTTCTGGTGGTGGGTGTGGTATTCCAGACATTTCTAGTAGTGGGGTACCCCTGACAGAGCTATGTAATTGCCAGATATTTGTAGTGATGGAGTATCCCTGACAAGAGTTATCTCATTTCCAGACTAAAGCTAGGCTAGATTAGCTCAAATCTGTACCACCTAAAACAGCTTTGGAGTTGTTCAATACCACCACAGGAATCATGAATGACCACTGCCAGACAGTTTGTGCGGTGGGTTGCCCCTTACAGACACGCCCAAAATAACACAACCCCCAACTAGGATAGATTAGTCGGCACTGTTCCTGTGGTCCAAAAAATTAAAAATTGTGCCAGGATGCGTGGAATACTTATACCTAGCACATATGGAAGAGGCGATAAACTGCGGTTGTAGGAACAATTTTATTTTTCAAAAACGCATTTTTAGCCTCACGGCACAAACTGTCTGGCAGTGGTCATTCATGACTCATGTGGTGGTACTGAACAACTCCAAAGCTGTTTTAGGTGGTACAGATTTCAGCTAATCTAGCCTAGCTTTGGTCTAAATATTAGATAACTCTTGTCAGGGATACTCCACCACTACAAATGTCTGGCAATTACATAGCTCTGTCAGGGGTACCCTACCACTAGACATGTCTGTCAGAGTGTTTTTGTAATACCTGAAGATGTACGTTACACTGCTGTACGATTTTCATTTGGTACACTTTTGAGCTAATCTAGCCTAGTTGGGGGTCATGGCATTTAGGGCATGGAACACCACACCCACCACCAGAAACCCAGCAGGCTTACATTCTGATGATACCAGATATACATACATTGATACCATATAGGAGAAAATTGGTACACTTTTCAGCTAGGTTGACCCCCTAGGCTCCCAGTCTACTAGTTCATTTCCTGATATTTTGTCAGGTACAACTGAAACCATTGTTTCCGAGCCTTGGCGCTTATCGCAAAAACTTAAGTGAAAATATTTTAAAGAAGCAACCTTTTCATATGTTGGGAGTGAAAATCCTAGTAGAAATTTTAGCTCTTTGCCAGTGAAAAGGTTGCAGTCTTTAAAGTTTTTGTGAATCAGGCTCCAGGTATGGTACTAAAGTAAGTGATCTCAGTCATTCTTGTTTGTTCACCTTTCTCAAGACAGTTAGGTAGATATACTTTAGATATTTTGACAAAAGTAGCAAATCTGTTTTTTTAGGGCTGTGTATTTCGACTGGAAATCGTAATGCACTATATTACTGTTCTTATAGTGTATCACAATATATAATATAATATCAATTTGAGTAATTTCAAATATTTTTATAGGCATTTAGATAAAATATTAGAAATAGAATCCTTAATTATATTATCGTAAAATCCAAATTAGATTTCAATATAGTAAATAAAGGTCAAAACATATCAATATTTTACAAAAAAAAGCAACCTTTCTTATGCCTTTGTTTTCATGAATTTAATACCGTTTCAATATTAAATTGAAGAAAAACTTATCTATTTGAAAATTAATTGAAAGTGAAGTAAAAATATTAAAGTACCAAATTTTGTTTTGCAATACAGTCTTCCACAATTCATATTGCAATATATTGATTTTTTTTGTTGACATTCTTAAGTTTACCAGAAAAATATATCTTCTAATGGAAATCGTTATCTACTCTTATTGTTTTAGGTGAACTGACAACAGATTTGAGTTCACTAAAAGTAAGTTTGCTAGATTTTTCTAAAGATACATCTTCAAAAAAAAAAACAAAAAAAAATATAAAAAAATTATGATTGCCTTTACGTATTTAGTATATACGTAAAAGAATATGATAATTTAATACATTGTATATGATAATAGGATGCTTAAGTTTTACATTTGGCCGAATCAATTTAATTTTTAGCTCTACAGGGTTTTGATAAATAAATAGCATTTGAGTCTCATAAACAATGTGTTGTTTAAAACTTCAAAAATTAAAAATTTGAACTAAAAGCTTTTGAGAAGACCACTAGTTTTAGATCATTTTTTTTTTTACTCTAATAATGGTAATCAAATTTTTAATAGGCATACCATACCTCGAAAGAACAAAAGTTCAAGCAAGAGCAACCAATTATAATTTGTTTTTAAATTTAAGAAAAAGGCAACCAAATATTAATAGGTGTTCCCAAAGAACAAAACTTTGAATTAGTATGGTCTGCAGACCCAAACCTGTCAACTCTACCGCATCACGCGGTAAACTGCCGCAAAAAAGCCTCATGTACCGCTCTACTACGCGGCAATAGATTTCTACCGCATTTTCAAACAAATAGTTTTTTAATTTTCTTGCCAAAACTATTGAACTAAGGGAAGCAACTCTTTGCATGTAAACAATAAAGATCGCGACTTTCGGTTATCAGCATCGATTTAGGATATTGTAAGGTGTAATTTAACTAAGAGATTTGTTCTCAAATTCTTTTCAATCTATTTTAGAGTAAATAAAGTGGATATAATTATTGGCACGTGTTCCAAATACTCTTAAAATGCGTAGCGATAAACTAAACAAATACCGGTAGCGACCAATTTACGTGTCTCCGATTCTGACTTACATGGAACACTCTCTCGAGTAAATGTAAAAGCAAATTTACGCAATCACGGGAGAAAGAAATCCTGTCCATTGAGAGGATAATCGCCATGGGGGGCATGATTAAATCGATATCAATATTTAGTCGTTATGCAAAACTAATTTAAAACAAAAGAAATATGTTACTGCCAGTACTACTGGACTGGAAATTTTAATTATTTTTTACATTACTAATTATTTCTTTCTGTGGGCTACATATTCAATTTTGGTATAATTACATAAATAATTTTAGATATGGTACCATTGCTTGTGTATATTTTATCTATTACCCATTTAATGCAATTTTTGTATTGTTGGGCCTGCAGTTTAGTGTATCATTTCTAAATTAATCACCCTTGGAAGTGCGAATTTACGCGTTTTTGAAAATCTACTGCCAAATCATGGTTTCTACTGCATTTTTTACACTACCCTACTGCATTTCAGCTCTGAGGGGTTGACGGGTCTGATGGTCTGTGTGTGTGTGTGTTTTTTTAAACTAATATTAACAGGGAAAACCCTTGTATTAATTGACTTTCCCACGGATGAACCTTTATTCAGTGATCTTACTCCTCTTTTGTAATGAGTTTATATTAAAAGCCATTTCGTGAGAATTATAAAATGAAGGCATGCTACTGCACATAATTTTCAAAAATTTCATTGTCATGGAACCCAGAATAAATTGTTTGAGATAAAATTGTCCATTCATCTCTGTCTGTGTGATCCTATTGCTAAGGAGAGACACGTGTGACCCACTGTTCAAGGTCAAGGTGGTTGAGGTTATGATGACCTGGATGAGGACCACCTGATGTTTTAATCTCCACATCTTTAACTTACAAAAGGTGTGGATTGAAACTGTAAATAGTGATAATTGCATCTTTGTGTTTGTTTTATCGTCTTTGCTTGTAATGACACACTAAGCCACAATGATTACTTTACAATAATGGATCCTTATTTAGCATCATTGATTCCATTTGATGTACAAGTATGTTCACTCAATGTAAACATAGAGCAGAGCTAATGAAAAATAAGAATGATCTAGAATAGGGGGTGGTGGGAGACAGTCGTAGTGGCACAGTGAGTAAGGTATTCATTCACTAACCAGGAGATTCTGGGTTTGATTCCGGTTTTGGATGAGAAAATCCCACAACATCTTCTAACATGGCTTCTCTATCTGTGGCAAGGAACAGTGCCTATTCGTTTAGATTGGACACCCACAAAAAAAGTCAAAAGTTCCCTTAGCAGTTGGAATTTTTTGTCCAGACATAATTTCAAACCCATTGTATTTCATAATGTTGGAGTATTAAAATTGAAATCATGTCTGGAAATAAAACATGTCATTGAAATTGTCAACCCACATTAATTTGAACTTTTGATGTTTGGGGAAAACCTGTTGAAAATTTTCTTCCAATTTTGCGGGGAAACAGAAAATAATTTAAAAACAAAATAAAAATACATGGTTGCTCTCTTCTCGAAAGCTTTTGCTTCCATATTTTTGAAGTTTTGAAATTTTAAACAAAATGATTTTTCACTATAATCAAAACCCCTGAAAGTTGAAAGGCTCAAATACACTCTATGTCAGACTCAGTTCTTGTTATCTGGTGTCTGTCAATATGTCATAATACGTCAGGTACAGAGTTTCATTCTTTATGCGGGGCATTGGATGGCCAAATGGTTAGTGCGTGCATTGTATCATAAGGTCTGTCATTGAGTCAACTAATGTGGTTTCGATTCCTCGGTTGTATGTGACAAGAAGTAGAGTCGCCTGTACAACCTCGTGGGTTTTCTCCGGGTCCTCGGTTTCCTCCCACTGCTAAAGACCCATCCGCACAAGCAAATTATCAAAATAAAATTGAACCATATGTTAGTCCTGAAATGACCTAGTTTGTGTCAAGTGGACGTTAAACCCCCATTTCTTTCCCTTCTTCTTTATGATATTTATTGATATCTTACTGGTGTAAAATAAAAAATATCTGGTACAGTTGCTAGATATGTACTTGTCGGATACTATCTCATTACAGTTTATTACATAAATGAAACTTATTAAATATTCAAAAATTAAAATATATGTTTTACAAAATGAAATGAAATGGGGTTTAACGTCCTGCTGTTCTGCTCATAACTGGGCTAATGAAGACGGGCATATGCCATACAGTGTGCTATGAGGGAAATTTTGCCTGGACAGTGGCACTACGGCCTACTTTTATATTGAATTCCAACTGTCACAGGATCTTTTAAGGGCACACCAATGTGTACATGGGACCTCAGTTTTTTGTGCCATCCGAATGACTAGCCTGCTATCCTTGTCAGGCCGTCCATCCTGCATATATGTTTTACAAACGTGTCAAATTGTTTGATAATTTTTTGTCTATAATCTGTATTTTTCAGAGTAATTTTGTATTACAAGATGTAAAAGTAAAATCAGGTCGATTTCACCCAAGAAGAGACGAACGATCTAACACGAAATCTCTGACAGAACTTATTCAAAAGGTGAAATAATTTATATTTGAAAGTTTTTTTTAATGTTAAATTTTAAAGAGAAATCTGGTCACATGTGATGTGTATTTTACATACAACTGAATAATGATTTCTGGAACAGTATTTGGCAAGTAAACCAGTGCCTAATTGTATATTTTCAGAGAGAAATTGGTTTAAGCAGACATCAGAAATTCACACAGGGAGATTTATGTGTCATAAACTCAAAGTAGGTTTTGTATGAACAGTAGAAATTAATGTCCCTGTGGTCATTTGCATTTATTTTGTAAATATCAAATTTTCCACTTCTTAAATCATGCTAAAAATATACTATTTATGTTTATTTAGCTTAATTCAAGAGAGATAGAGAAAGAGATGGGGTTTAACGTCCACTCGACACAAACTAGGTCATTTCGGGACTAACATATGGTTTTAATTTTTTTTCAATAATTCGCTTGTGCGTAGGTGTCTTTAGCAGTGGGAGGAAACCGGAGGACCCGAAGAAAACCCACGAGGCTGGACAAGGCGACCCTACTCCTTGTCACGTACAACTGGGGATTCGAAACCAATCCAGTTGATTCAACGACAGGCCTTATGATACAGCGCACACATGCTAACCATTCGGCAATCCCCCCACCCCACCCCCCCAGCTTGGATTCAATTAGATTAAAAATGGACGCATCAAATGATTTTACCCAACACATAAAGTGTTACTGGATGCCGGATTTTGCGAAATTTTAAATTCATCTTAGTAAATACTGAATGTAATTGAACCATTTTTGGAATGATATTCATTTTAGAGTTATCCCTCTATAAAACTGGCTGAAGTGACGCGTGATAACAGATACATGGGCGAATTTCTGCTCACTTAAAATTCGTTCGAAGATCAAAGGTTGTTATATGAGACTGTAAGAGTATATCTGACAATTCAAAAAAGTAATTGAATGTCATTAGATAAGAGAACACGAGAAAAATAGAAACAGTCCGTACATTCACAGGTGTTTATTCTTTCTATACTTATAAAAACATAGTAATGCACGGACTTTTTCTATTTTTCTTTCATGTTCTCTTATCTAGTGACAGTCAATTTTGTTTATGAATTGTCAGATATCCTTTCACAGTCCCATACAACAACTTTTGGTCTTCGAAGGAATTATTAGTGAGCAGAAATTCGCCCATGTATCTGTTATCACCCGTCACTTCTGCCAGTTTTATAGAGGGATAACTCGTGTTTTCCTTTTGCGTTCATCACTTCCTATTGTTGAAACATTGATTACCCATCTATCGTAGCAATGATCTCTGTGAAAAAATAATATTTGGAACGTGTTTAACCGGTTCTATCACATGTGATAATGACTGGCACCAATATTGTCCTTTAAGATTCATAAAATTTTAGAGATTCAACTTTTACAATATTGTAGTTTACAAGGGATTAAAATTCTCTCAAATGAGGATCAGTGGCATTAAATAAAAATCTCTGATGAACAATTATAATTTCATGTTTCAGATTTCTTCCTAATCGTGTAAGAACTGTGGCAACATATAGTCAGAAAGCGTTCTGTGGTACATATTCACAAGATGGCAATATATTCTTGTCTGCATCACAAGGTATGTGGATTTTATAAATATCAACACTCAAATTTTTATACGCCCACATTTTCATGTGGACGTATATTGTCGTCGCCCCTGTCCGTCCAGCGAGCTCATAATTTTTATCCGATTTAAAAAAACGTATTATTATATCACCGTTACACCCTAAGGATGGCTGAGTTTGAATTTCCTGGAAAATCGGCCCAAAATTGACAGACAAAATGGCCGCCGTTCGTTCTCAAATAGCGTAAAAATATGGTATATCAAGGTTGTGGACCCTACAGAGGTCACAATTTTAATCCGATTTTGTTGAGACTTAAAATGTAAGTTTATAACCCAACGATCTCGGTTCCTTTTGATATTTGTGCATATCGGACCGTAACTTCCTGAATTATGGCCCCTGATTGTACGAAAAATCGCGTTTTTAGCTTGTGGACCCAATAGAGCTCATAATTTTTATCCGATTTAAAAAAACGTATTATTATATCACCGTTACACCCTAAGGATGGCTGAGTTCGAATTTCTTGTAAATCGGCCCAAAATTGACAGACAAAATGACCGCCGTTCGTTCTCAAATAGTGTAAAAATATGGTATATCAAGGTTGTGGACCCTATAGAGGTCACAATTTTTATCCGATTTTGTTGAAACTTGAAATGTAAGTTTATAACACAAAGATCTCGGTTCCTCTCGATATTTGCGCATATCGAATTGTAATTTCCTGAATTATGGCCCTTGATTGTAGGAAAAATCACTTTTTTTTTAGCTTGTTCTCTATCCATCTCTAGAAAATGTGGGCGTATCCTGCCTGGCAGCCGCTGGTTTTCTTTACGTGGCATTTAGTAATTGAACAGTAAGACACTAACACTATTTATGGAGTAACAATTACTGGTTTATTAACATGCAACGTTTCAATGATGATACTATCGTCTTTATCAAGCAAATATTTGCTTTATCTTAACATTCAACGTTTCGATTTGCTTGATAGAGACGAGAGTATCATCATCAAAACGTTGCATGTTAATAAACCAGCAATTGTTACTCCATAAATAATGTTAGTGTGTAACACTCAAATTATTATTATGAATCATGGGTTCCAGCTCAGCAATATATGCCGGTCATGACCACATGAGTTAATAATTGACTGAACTATCTAGAGACCCATTGGTCAATTTTACATGCCATAAAACTAACATATCTTTCAAAACTGAGGTGATGTGACTTCTCAGTCTGGAAAAACATGAGTTAACATTCTTTTTTAAGACTTGTATATACTATGTTAACACTATTTGAGTGATGGACATGCAACTTAGAGTGAAGATGTCCAACATCTATATTGTACCACATGTGAAATGTTAATGATATAGGTGCAATATTCCACTTTGAATAATGTACTTTTTTTTTCTGGGCCACCTGATATATGGCTTGGTTGTTATTATATATTGACTTAATGGGTTATTATATATTGACATTGTTGTTATTATATATTAACATGGTTGTTATAATATATTGACATGGTTGTTATTATATATTGACAGATCAGAATATAAGAGTGTATAAAACCGACAGATCGTTTAAATTATTAAAAACGATACGAGCCAGAGATGTAGGCTGGAGTGTTTTAGATACAGCGTTTAGGTAATAATTACTTTATGATTATACTTTTTATACTTGTCGCCACCACTGTCCAGCTATCTAGATCAGAGTTTTCGAGACTTGTTGGAATATGTTTGGCAGGTTCTAGTCCTAAGTAAGATATTAATCAAAATTTAGAGTTACTTCCCCTATCTGCAAAGACTTTTAAGCACTTAACTGGTCATGTTGTTGAGATCTCTGTCGAATTTTCTCCTCCTTTTGAGGAATTCTATTCTAATCATAATTCCACTTTCAGATTAATTAATTTTTTATGTTATTGATTATATATCCTGCCAAAGGAAGTTAAAGGAGGATATTGAAATGGGCTACATCTGTCTGTCCATCACGTTTTCTTTACAGAGCATATCTCAAGATATCTTTATGAAACTTTGTAAACACAAGAACCTATATATTATAGCAGTTTTGTTGTTTCCTGATTAGAAATTTCTCAGATTTAATCAATTTTGACGTTGATTTTGGTATAGCTTACAAGTGTGAAGGATGTTCATGTCTAAGTCTTGTTTGTTTTTGTTCTTTTTTTTTAGTCCAGATGGCAACTATTTAATATATTCCAGTTGGTCAGATTGTAGTAAGTATAATTTTATTTGTTACTTACAATCTTCCTGTTATGTGTTTGAATATACCAAAGTCATGGTATAAGTGTCGATTTCCAACAATTTACATCAACAAAATAAAAACATTGTGTATATACTGTATGGTTACTCTTATTATACACAACAATATTCTAAGGGACGATAGTGTTGCTAGCTGTGAAGTTAGTTATCTGTTTGTCATTTAGTTATTCATTATTAGGATTTATGTTACAATTCTGCGGTCAGTAATGATGTAAGAGATGATCTAAAACCGATAAATGTGAGAAATATGCCATGGATAATTATATATTTATCTTCATTTTGAAGTTATTGTATTACAAGTTACAACTCAAAATTATCCAGGTCAGTGTGTTTTCTATAGAGCACATGGTAATACGTGTAAGCTAGGCGGATGATTTTACTATGGTCAATTCAGCTATTTTGATTATTTAGGTAGCCAAAAGGGAATATTTCATTAATAAATAGCTATCCTAAGTCTTACTACTATTTCAGTTTTAAGTCCAAAATTTAATTTTTTGTGTACACCTTGCTGACAAAGTGGTATAGACACGTGAATTCACAATACCCTACCATGAATAAAAAACATGAAATGAATTTATTTTGAAAAGTTTTCGTGCGTTATCAAAAATGACTGACAGTGAAAATTTTGAAGTGGAAGCCCTGCTAGAGACTGTTTCTTGCCTGGTTCATGCCTGGTTCTCTGTCTGAGGGTAAGCAGCTTGTAAACCAGGAATGATAAGTTTATATTCAGTACGTTCTTATTTTGATATCTAACTGTCAAGGGATCTTTAACATGCTGATATCGGTATACACCACACCTTGTTTTTTTTGTTTCATCTGGGTGACTAGTTCCTTTTCAAGCTATCAGTTGCACCACTGACAACCAGCTGGAAAATCCTGAGGAACTTCTTGCCCAACCCAAAATAATAAATTTATATTCAGTATAATCCCATTAATTTTAAACAAATTTACACTGATATATTTCAGTTCATCTATGCAATATATATGGTGACCATGAAGTTCATGAGGCCTTAAATCTAACTCCGGGGGAACACAGTTTTTGTTTATTTTCACTTACATTTTCTTCTGATAATTCAGAAATATTGGGTGGGTAAGTAAAAAAAACCCTATTTTTCACATCTTATCAATAGAATTCTTTTCTTATTTTGAGACTAACATATGTTTTGGGAGAAGAATTTTGCCTGGAGAGCAGTGTTTTCAACTACTCATAATCAAAACCCAATTATCAAGAGTTCTTTTACATTCACTCCAGTTGAACAAGGGCAGACATCAGATTTCGTCCCATCCAAACAACTCTGTGAATCGCAAGGTTCTTCTCTACACACGCCAGTATTTTTTCAATCTGATTAAAATACAGATCTATATTTCGTTTTGTTTTTTATGCTTTCGATGGCCTACACTACATGAAGATCTGACCGGTTGTTGCGATAGGTCACGTCAGAGGTCATACGAGCAGCTTTTGACCCTATGACTTCAGACTTTGCTTAACCAATCAGCATTGATGTTACTAGTGGATTACCCACAGTTATGGGCAAAACACGCCTAAAGCTCGCCGTAACAGACAGTTTCATTGGCTAATACCTCACACTATTCAGAACACGTCAATGATAACAACTCTTCCAGATCCTAGTGTAGTAAAGACAAGTAAAACGAGATTTTGAACTATAAAAATGAAACGAAATAGGATCTCTGTTTTAATCAGATTGGTATTTTTTATAAAAATAAATAAGCTTAAATATAGGATTTTGACAAATGGAAACTTTTTATCATATTTTATTTGGTTGATCAAATTGTTTGTCATATCAGTAAATGGTTGATCACAGTTTTTCTATGGACCGATTAAATCCCAAATCAGCTTAGCCAATGTCTATAAAATCAACAGATAAGTACATAGGTTGATGCAATTCGATACATAATTGATGTCGTAATAAATGGTGTGCTGTGAGAGTCCAATAGAATGGGCCTTTAAAGAAATTATGGAATAATGCACCTGTCAAAATATACTGTTGTATAAGAATAATAAATATTTTGGTAGATTTACATAAAAGAAAAGCTAAAAGAAGAGAGATAAGTTACAAGTCCAGGTTTTTTTTCTCTACCAGGGCAAATGATGGGTGTTTATATGTGGTTTTTTTTCTCTACCAGGGCAAATGATGGTTGTTTATATGTGTTTTTTTTTCTCTACCAGGGCAAATGATGGTTGTTTATATGTGTTTTTTTTTTCTCTACCAGGGCAAATGATGGTTGTTTATATGTGGTTTTTTTTTCTCTACCAGGGCAAATGATGGTTTGTTTATATGTGTTTTTTTTTCTCTACCTGGGCAAATGATGGTTGTTTATATGTGGTTTTTTTCTCTACCAGGGCAAATGATGGTTGTTTATATGTGTTTTTTTTTCTCTACCTGGGCAAATGATGGTTGTTTATATGTGTTTTTTTTTTTCTCTACCAGGGCAAATGATGGTTGTTTATATGTGTATGATAGAGAAAGTAATCAAAGAACACTCAGGGTATGATCTTGTTTTTGTACCTCGCCTATCAAAGAAAGCAGGTTACTATTAAAATAGGTTCTTCGGGCTGCCTGTCTCTGCTTCTAATTGAGATAGAATGTTCAAACTTGAAATGAAATGAAATGAAATATGGTTTAAAGTCTGCTCCGAACTGGGCTAATGAAGACGGGCATACGCCATACAGTGTGCTATGAGGGAAATTTTGCCCGGACAGCGGCACTATGGCCTACTCTTATATCGAATTCCAACTGTCAAGGGATCTTTTATGTTCACATCAATGTGTACACGGGGCCTCGGTTTTTTGTCCCATCCGAACGACTAGACAGCTGTTCTTGTCAGGCCCTCCGTCCTGCATCACTGACAAGGGAGAACCACACCGGAAAATCTGGATCGAACACCTGACCGCCAGGCTAGCAAGTCAGCATCTTACCCACTTAGCCACCGTGATCTCCATGTTCAAACTTAGTGTAGATGTTCATTAGGTGAATGCCTTGACTAAGGTTTCTGCACAGGATATAAGCAATTTGATTGCTCAATCTTCTATAAAAATATAAATGTGCAAGTAATTAAAGGCCTGATAATCTCCTGACTTGGATTTAAACTCGGCCTACCAGGTTTCTCTACAACAAATAAAAGATGGCACGACGTTTTGTTACATACAAGCAGCATAGAACAATGAAATTGAATCAGTCTTGTAGTTTACAAGGGATTCCTGTAATGCTTAATGATGCATCAAGGCTTTAATGAGTGTCATCTATTTATTTCGGGATTGAAGAACGAACATCCACCCCCCTGTTTGCTTGTATTTTTTAAACTGAAATCTTATTTTTACCGCCATTATTTCCTGTTTAGTTGAGACCAGAAAAGTTTTTGAATACCATATATTTGTAAGCGTAGAAAAGTTCACCTCACAGAATGTGAAATTATGATCAGTGTTTGCCAGATGTTTTATTATCAATTCTATTTATAGATTGAAAGTCATGATGATGATGTGAATGCTGTTTCTTTTGCTGATGATAGTTCACAGATATTATTTAGTGGTGCTGATGATGGTCTCTGTCGGGTTAGTATTCTTATATCTTGGTAAAGGGTTGTAAGCCCTGATGATGGTCTCTGTCGGGTTAGTATTCTTATATCTTGGTAAAGGGTTGTAAGCCCTGATGATGGTCTCTGTCGGGTTAAATCTTATTACTTGGTAAAGGGCCATAAGCCTATATGATGCATGGTCTCTGTTGGGTTAGTATTCTTATATCTTGGTAAAGGGTTGTAAACCCTGATGATCGTCTCTGTCGGGTTAAATCTTATTACTTGGTAAAGGGTCGTAAGCCCTGATGATGCTCTCTGTCATGTTAATTCTTATATCTTGGTAAAGGGTCTTAAGCCCTGATGATGCTCTCTGTCAGGTTAATTCTTATATCTTGGTAAAGGGTCTTAAGCCCTGATGATGCTCTCTTACTGGTTAAATCTTATAACTTGGTAAAGGGTCATAAGCTCTGATGATGGTCTCTGTCAGGTTAATTCTTACATCTTGGAAAAGGGCCGTAATAGCCAAAAGACCATGTAATAAACTCCTATTTTAATTCCGCATAAAGTTGATGTAAATTTGTTTGGGATGGGGGGGGGGGGGTGGATGGTTTAGATACTGAGTGGATTAAACATCAATAAAAGGACTGACAATCAAGACTTTGTTTATTATCATGGCAATTATACTTGACAATCAACTATATCTTGTATGTCAAGACTTCAAACACCCATAACTTCGATCAGAATAAATAATTTTACTGTAATTTTCAATATATTCATTTTCCAAGATCTATTTTGAACTATTATACCAAGAACAGTCAGCTCTTTAATTAAATCTTACATAATGGATGTTTAAGTTATGTATATGAGAGATATGGCTAGTGATATATTAAGTTATGTTTTGTAGGTATGGGATAGAAGAACATTGAGAGAAGATAATCCTAAAGCTGTAGGAACATTTGCTGGTCATACAGATGGTATTACATATATAGATAGCAAGGTATGTGGGGGTCTTTAACAGTGGGAAGTAACCAGAGGAAACCCACAAGGTAATGCAGGGGACCCTACTCCTTGTCACGTACAAGCCTGGAATCCTGCCATGCATATAAGTGCATACATTAGACGACTCAGTCACACATCAACCATCTTTGAATGGCCGAATGGTTAGCGTGTACGCGTATCATAAGTTCTGTCATTGAGTCAACTGGCATGGTTTTGATTCCCCGGTTGTATGTGATAAGGAGTAGGGTCGTGATGGGTTTTCTCCGGGTCCTCTGGTTTCCTCCCACTGCGAATTATTTGAATAAAATTGAACCATATGCTAGTTTGTGTCGAGTGGACATTAAACCCCATCTCTCTCTCTCTCTCTCGCTCTCTCTCTCTCTCTCTCGCTCTCTCTCTCTCTCTCTCTCTCTTAGTGGGGAAAAAAAATTAAAAAAACAAAAAGTACTTGGTTGCTCTTCTCAAAGACTTTTGGCTAAAAATTTAAGATTTTAAGCAAAACTCTAGATATATAATTTGATTTTTTGTTCTCTGGGATCACCTATGAAAGTTTAGCTTCTTATTTCTTGAGGGGAAAAGAAAATTTAATAACAAACAATACTTAGTTGCTCTCATTGGAAGTTTTTAGCTCGAAGGTTTGAAATTTTAAACAAAACATTGTTCATGAGTGGCCATATATTTATCATGACACCAAAGAATTAAAATAGTTTAACACAACACAAACTAGGTCATTTAGGGACTAACATGGTTCATTTTTATTTTAATAATTCGCTTGAACAAAGGGTCTTTAGCAGTGTTAGGAACCCAGAGGACCCGGAGAAAACCCACGAGGTGGGACAGGCAAAGTTTAACTTGAGTGAAAAGAATTAAAATAATTTGACTTGAGTGAAAAGAATTAGAATAGTTTGACTTGAATGAATATTTTGAATTTCAGTATCTGAAATCAAGGCATGAGAGATTAATAATGATATATAATTTATTTGAATTTAGCGTGATGCACGATATCTTTTGTCTAATTCTAAAGATCAGACAATTAAATTATGGGATGTAAGAGCATTTTCAAATGAAGATACTATACGAGTAAGTATTTATATATGTATTATACAGATGACAGATTCAACAGTTATGATAAGCATAATTGAAATAATTTTGTATTGTTGGAAATGGAAATAAAATGGGGTTTAATATCTACTTTTCTGCACCAAACCAAGATAATGAGGACGTACATATGCCATAAAGTATGCTATGAGGGAAATTTGTGCGCACAGCGACATTTCCGCCTACTCTGCATTGAATGCCAACAGATGAGGGTTGTTTTACGTGCACTGCAAAAGTTCATAAGGATTTTCCAGCATTGTTTCCCCTAGACAGCTGTCTAGTCGTCCAAATCGCACGAAAAAACAAAGGTCCCTTGTACACATTGGCGTGCACGTAAAAGATCCCTTGGCAGTTGGAATTCGATATAAGATTAGGCCGTAGCTGTCCAAGCAAAATTTCAGTCATAGCACATTGTATGGTGCAAGCCCTTTTTCATTAGCCCAGTTCGAGCAGAACTTTAATCCCCATTTCATTTTGTTTCAATTTGGACACCAAGGTGTACATCGTTTCTTTTGTCACATCCAATGACTAGTTAGTAAGCCTGCACCTTACTCTCTGAGCCACTGTGGGTCCTTGTTGGGATGGGAATGGAATGGGTTTTAATGTCTCGTCAACGACAAGCATTGTTTATTGTTCTTTCTATGCTATGAAATGTGAGGTAGGAGAAGGACTCATGGCCCATGGTTTTTTCGTAGCTTCCATATTACTAGGTACACTTTCCTTGTCATCCTTGCAGATTTTCATTGAAACTTTTTCTTTTAATTATTCAAGAGATATTACTTGAACTTTGAACTGCATGTATTTATTTTGTTTTACAATATCAAAATTAAGTACTTCATTTTAAAAAGAGTTATTTCCCTTGTATGTTTAAGGCTACGAAGCGGGCTGTATCAGCACAAAAATGGGATTACAGATGGCAGCAAGTGCCGAGAAGAGGTATGATTTAAATCGTTCACAGTAATATCATTTTTATCAGAATGGTCTTTCAGCTTATAATAAAGGATATAATATTGCAGAAGTATCAAGGGAGGATAATTTGGCTATGTGTCTTCCCCTGTGAATGGACCCAGTGGTTAGTGGAGAAGAATGGAACGATAACACTGGGGATACCAAGGATGTTAATTTATTAAGTAACGCATGAGTATCCGAGAAACAGAATATTTTTTCTATACGGCCTTAACCTAATTCATAATGTTCTTTCATTATTGTTCTACTATTATTCTAAATTAAAATCTTCTTTTATTTCCAGCTCGAAAAAAACGGTTATTAGGTGATACATCAGTAATGACATATAAAGGACATTGTGTGTTACATACGTTAATCAGGTGTCATTTTTCACCAGCTTTTTCCACTGGTCAAAGATATGTATATACTGGTTGTGCGACTGGATCTGTTATTAGTAAGTATTGCTTTAAACAGTATTCATTTCAAAGAATACCAACCAGGCTATTCATTTCAAAGAATACCACCCAGCCTATTTGTTTCAAAGAATACCACCCAGCCTATTTGTTTCAAAGAATACCATCCAAGCTATGTTGCTTTAGGCAGTATTCATTTCAAAGAACCAAGATAAGTATCTCTCTCTCTCTCTCTCTCTCTCTCTTTCTCTCTCTCTCTCTCTCTCTCTCATCAGAATGTTTCTCAGGGTGCAAACCATGCAACCGCTGGGTAAACAGCCAGGTTTTTTTTTTAATATTCCATCTATCTTATTTTTTTTTCAGTTTATGATTTGTTAACTGGTGCAATTGTTAAGAAGTTAGATAATCACGCAGCATGTGTACGAGATGTTTCCTGGCACCCGTATTACAATAAACTTATCAGCACATCGGTAAGATTCTCGTATTTAATTTACAATTAGGAAAAGGTTTTTCCTAATTACAGTATTCAGGGTAGTGGGGTTAAGAGCAGTGGTTCCCAAGCTTTTGTGCCTTTCCCAACCTCTCAACATCACAAATTATTTTGTGCCCCCACCCCCACCCCCGCCCCCTTTGATATGAAAACAAGTTGAGTTTTGTAAAAGTATATGTCATTTCGGGACTAACACATGGTTCAATTTTATTTCAATAATTCGCTTGCGCGTAGGGGTCTTTCGCAGTGGGACGAAACCGGAGGACCCAGAGAAAACCCACGATGTTGGATAGGCGATATGAAAAAAAATTGAGTTTTGTAAAAGTATATGGCATTTTGGGACTAACACATGGTTCAACTTTTCTTTCAATAATTCGCTTGCGAGTAAAGTGTTTCGCAGTGGGAGGAAACCGGAGGACCCAGAGAAAACCCACGATGTTGGACAGGCGACCCTACTCCTTGTCACATACAACCGGGGAATCGAAACCACGGCAGTTGACTCAATGACAGATGTATGATACATCGCGCACGTGCTAACCATTCGGCCATCCAACCCCCCTATATGTTTATAATCAAACTAATTGTCAATATACTTTAATTACACAGTATGGAATTTGAATACTGTTCATAATAACACGGAGCCGTAGTGACTCAGTGTGTAAAGAAACTTGGAGTTTGTGTGTTTAATCCCTGCATTGGCCGAGAAAGTGCATCCTGATATTCTGGCATGGGTTCCTCCTTGTCAGTGGTGCAGGACAGGTCCTAGCAAGGGACAATGTATATTGTCCATTTGGAGGGGATAAAAAACAGAGGCCCTGTGTATAGATTGGTGTGCACATAAAAGATCCCCAGGCAGTTGGAATTCGATATAAGTGTAGGCTGTAGTGCTGCTGTCTGGGCAAAATTTCCCTTGTAGCACACTGTATGGCGTTAGCCTGTCTTCATTAGCCAAGTCAGAGCAGAACAGTCGGACATTAAATGCCATTTTATTTCATTTCATAAAAACACATCTTTACAGATTTACAACTTCTAGGTTTATTACATGCAACGTTTCAATACTCTTACAGGTATCTTTATTAAGCAATGATCAATAGTGAATACAACAATACATTTATAGTGCATCCATGTGTGTACAATTTATAGCAATCAAAACATCAAATTAATAATGTGATTTCACTATCTGTCATACTTAAACATATATTATGTAAGAGCTATATCTGCCTATTGCAGGTCTTTCTTTAGGCCTGAAATGTTATCTAAATTATTAATTAGACACTAAATAACTTATTCAGACCATAATCAACTCTCAATGCCATCTTATGTTTCCGATTTTCATTGGATTTGCATCTGATCTGCTGTTCAACACCCATTGATGATTAACTGCAAAAATGGATAATCAAGACTTTGTTTATTATCGTGACAGCGGTAGCAATGACAATCGAGACAATTATTTTTTATTTAAACAATATTTTTTTTAAGGGATATGGAAACAAGCCAATGGGTTAAATAAATCAGTTTCCCAAAAGCAATATACAAAAATGAGATACATAAATATACAAACATGATCAATATACATATAGAGTAATACAAAAACGGAATATGGAACACAATTACTATTTTAATTAAAGCGACGTTTCATTGAGGGTTCTCTCAATGTTTTCAAGCAAATGATAATGAAAATAATGTACAGAAGGTTTATATACAAAAACAAGTAACAACTAATTCAGATTTACCAATTAAATTCACTGATTTCACTGCCTCATCTCCATATTGATGACGAATATCTTCTTTGAGCGGCATTTAGCAATTGACATAAGTAATACAAAAACATAATATGGAACACAATTACTATTTTAATTAAAGCGATGTTTCGTTGAGGGTTCTCTCAACGTTTTCAAGAGTGTTAAATTACATAAGATTACAGAAAGAATAGTATACATTGGAATGCACGTAAAAGATCCCTTGGCAGTTGGAATTCGACATAAGAGTAGACGATAGTGCCGCTGCCTTGGCAAAATTTCCCTCATAGCACACTGTATGGCGTATGCCCATCTTCATTAGCCCAGTATAGGAGCAGAACAGTAGGACGTTAAACCCCATTTCATTTCATTTCCTACATGTATCTGTTGTTGTATATTTAGCTTACTTATATGTTATATGAGATTGTTAATTGTTATATTGTATTGATCATCCATGTGCTTAATATTTGTGATTTGGCTGTATTGTTTCCGTCTCTGAAGGTCTAGTCACTCTCACCTCCCGTGGCGTTCACAATCTTTGGCGTAGTATACTGTATCCCATCTTTATCAGCAAAATAAGTATTTATTTAATCAGTATTAAATTCCTAAAATTCATTCCCCATGCGTTATATTCGTGTTCTGGTATATTTTTATTGCATCATTGTTATTACTTTATAGTATAGTTTCCTGTCATTTGTTGATAATACATGGCCTATTCAATCTTATATCACAATCTTTCTTTCCTTGGATGCATCACTGAGATCCAAACTTGCCTGTACTGTTATAGGGAATCTTCGGCCCTTCTGTTCCTATCAAGTGGGGGGTTTTATTGTCTCCATCTTGGGATAGTTTTTACTTTCATACTTGTCAACTAGCATACTCAATGTGGACATAATTGTCTGTTAGAGTAAATACAGTTTTTACCAGTTAATTTTGTCTTTGGAAACCTCTCTCTATGGTGGCTGTTAGCGGTTAGCAGTTAATCTGTGCGCATGCAAGTTATCCAATCAGCAAATGCGCAAGCCTGAGTTTGACTTCAGAGGCGACAAGTCGCCGCATGACAAGTTGAAATAATTGTATTTTGTCGACTTGTTTACATGTCAGGTTGTGAATAAGTCGAAGGCGACAAGTCGACAGAATTGACCTGACAAGTCGACGAAATGAAGGCGACGATCGTCGGGTTATTTTGTCGTGTTGGCGGGTTGATTCTGTCGACTTGTCGCCTTCTTCACAAGGCGATGATTTAGATTCATTTGAATGGCTGCTAACAGCCACCATATCTCTCAGTAAAATTACTAAATACCACTGAAACAGTTTATATTTTAATTATATTAATATTGACGCAAGCTATACTAATATTCCTCGAACATAATAAAGTGACAATTTCATTTTTTTTTAAGTCATATGTTTAAAATGTGTTAAAATAAAGACCACTTTTTTAAAGAATAATCCTATCCAGTTGAGAAATTGGCAAAGATATCATTTTCTTGTTGAAAGTAAAACATTTGTTTTTGTCGGGTTCTCTATCGTCTCGAATGACATTTGTAATGAACAGCAAAACACGTCACACGAGTCAATGCAGAAATAATTAAAAATGGCTGATCCACAAATGACAAATCCACAGATAAAATTTAAGCAACAAAAAAGAAATCTTTAACAATTATAGAGAAAGAGAAATGCGGTCTGTTTAATGTCCATTCAATGCAAACTAGGTCATTTTGGGACTAACATATGGTTCAATTTTATTTCTCTAATACGCTTATGAGTAGAGGTCTTTAGCAGTGGGAGGAAACCAGAGGGCCCAGAGAAAACACATGAGGTTGGTTAGGCGACCCTGTTCCTTGATTACATTGTACTCTGGTCAAAAGAAATGATTGACTGATTTGAGCCAACACCATTTTTACTGAGATTAACCAAGTCAAGATGTCTATGAGTCACCCAAGTTCGAAAAAATACCAACAGAAAGCAATTGCAATATTTTTTATCGAACATGACGTAAATAAATGGATTGCTTAAATGAGGAACAGTAATAAAAATTAAGCCCAATATTCGAATCGTTACGCTATGAAGTGTAGTTATGTGGTCCATTTGTTTTTGAACGATAATGATAATGGCGTATAATAGCCATGTTGTTATAAAGATGACAATTGTTAAGGTAACTGGCACAATGGCTTTAACATAAGGCTTGGAATCATGAGCATTTGGCGGGGCCAATGATATCACGGGAGTAACTTTAAGGTAAGCCATCCTGTACATTGCGACTTGCGTTGTGAACAAGATGAAAAAACATGGCACAAAAATGAGTAGGCTTACGAAGGATAGATAGGAGTGACTTCGTATTTTAAATGTCACCATAGCCG